GGGGGGGGGGGGGCATCTTTTGGGTGGTATTAAGGAATTTGGCTTAATTTTGGTGAAAAGGGAAAGGGAGGGTCATGGTTGGATTTGGGTTAGAAAGAGGACTCTGACCCAAATGAGGAATGAATGTGGAGTAGGGAGGGGGAGCAAGACCAAAGGCAGGAGGGTCAATTTTGGGTGATCCATGTAGTAAAGAACCCATATAGGTTGCTGGCTGCAAGGAGGGATATTAGCTAAAGTATCTGAGATGTCATTTAAGAGGTTGAACTGGCATTGGAGACTGAGTAAATTCCATGGGTGAGGAAGAGGGGACTTCTGAGTTGATAGACCATTTACTCACAAAGGGAACAGGAGAAAAGATTGATCATTTTTTTGACCGGTTGGTCAAGACATCAAGTGGGCAACTGTGTATTCACGCTTAGAGCTCTGGGGAGAGTTCTGGGCTAGTCAGATATGCAGAGCAGTTCTGGGTATACAGGAGGCAAGCACACAGGTGGTGTGGAAGGTGGAGAAGGGGCACATGAGCATGTGAAAGCCCTCCTGACTTGCCCGTGTGTTTGTGTGTATAATAACAGCAGAAGCAGGTAGGAACCAATGCAGTGGTCATTGTTGTCTGTCTCTCCGTGTTGCTCCATGGGGGTTACAAGCCCTTTCACTTCTGTGAGGGAGAAAGAGCAACGGGTTATTCTCTCCATGTTATGGTCAGGGAAACTGAAGCCTGGGTGTCTGTGACTCGCTCTAAGTCACACTGCTCATCGAGGGTAGAGGCCACCAAGAATCCAGGCGGCTGCCTCCAGGCCCCAGCCCAGGAGTGAGCAGGCCAGCTGGCTCACCCAAGGCTGCCCTGTCACCTGCAGGAATCACGGAGATCCTGATGAACAGACCAAGTGCCCGTAATGCCCTGGGGAATGTCTTGGTCCGTGAGGTGAGAAAGGGCAGCACCAGGGTGGGTGGGGGCTGGGCTAGGGCTGGGCTGGGAGATACCTGCAAAGATCTCCTCTGCAGCTTCTGGAAGCTCTGGCCCGGCTGCGGGAGGACCAGCAAGTACGCGTTCTGCTATTCAGAAGTGGAGTGAAGGGTGTGTTCTGTGCAGGTGGGTTTCCTCCCTTGCCTCTACTCCAGGGCTCAGCAGGGTTCCCACCAGCCTATAGGGGGTTGGGGGCGTAGGTCAGCTCTAGCATAGGACTTATTGTTCCCATTTTATAGATGTGAACTCAAATACTCAGAGGTAAAATGCCTTGCCTAGTGTTACACAGCTAGTAAGAGGTAGGATAGAATTCAATTTTAACTTGGCCCCTCTGACCCTCAAATCCTTATTCTTTCTGCTACACCATGCTCTGTTCTGACGCTTCACTGAGGAAACTAAGTGCTGTGACATTGACAAGGTCTGTGGCCAAGAAGGTACTCTGTGCCCCTTTGCCCACCCACAAGATCTCAGTTCCTGTCGCCAAAACTCTCCACTGCCCCTGGACAATTTGGTCCTCACAGTAGGGCAAGCATCACCAACTTCTATTTCAAAGACACAAAACACTGACTCACATCCCCACAACAAGAAGCAAGTGAGTGAGAGATGCACTGAGCTGAGCTAAGAACCCACTCTGGGGTGATTGGGGAAGGGATAGCAGGAGTCACTGAGGAGGTGAGAAGAGGCCATGGATGGGTAGGATGGGAAGAACATGGAATTTCAAGGTGATATGGCTCAGTCTCTAGGTCTGAGCTGTCGGGATCACAGTGCCCAGTTTGGGGTCTCCCCTGGCACGACAAGTATGCAGAGGGGTCTGCCTGACGCAGCTGCCCTGGATGAGGGACTCACTCTACCCTGGCTTCCTCCTTCAGCTCTATGCCTGTCTGACCTTCTCTATGAAGGTCCCAGTAGCCCCACTATCCCACCTAAGCACAGGGAAGTGGAGGGGTTGGGGGGATGGCTGCAGGAGGTCTGTCTCTGACTTGTTCTGGAATCCTGGGATAGTTCCTACCCCTCTTTGGCCTCAGTTTCTCCATCTGTCTTTGAGGGGCTGGGACTAATCAAAGACATGCAAGGGCTGTCAGCTCTGAATTCCCATAGTTTCAGATGTGAAGAGAATATATTCACTCCCTACTCCCACCTCAGCCCCCTGCCATCTGGCCTTTGATGACTCTGCCATGGTACTACTCTTACCAAAGTCCTTCCCAACTCCATCCCACTGTATCCTGCACTTGCTTGTCAGTTCTCTCATCTTGACTTTGTAGTCTCCTTGGACCACACTGACCCCTCCTATCAAAAAGTAATATGTTGGGGCACCTGGGTGGCTCAGTCAGTTAAGCGTCCGACTCTTGATTTTGGCTTGGGTTATGATCTCAGGGTTGTGGGATTGAGCCCCACATCGGGCTCTGGGCTGACAGCACAGAGCCTGCTTGGGATTCTCTCTCTCTCTCTCTCTCTCTCTCTCTCTCTCTCTCTCTCTCCCACCCCTCCCCCGCTCTCATGCACTCTCTCTCTCAAAATAAATAAACCTTAAAAAAATCAATATGTCAATTATTTCTCAATAAAACTGGGAAGAAATAATACATTTTTTATGTTTAAATTTGTTTATCTATTTTGAGAGAGCGGGAGAGAGAGAAAGCATGGGGGGGGGGAGGAGCAGAGAGAGAAAGAGAGAGAGAGAATCCCAAGCAGGCTCTATACTATCACCGTGGAGCCTGATGTAGGGCTTGAACCTACGAACCGTGAGATCATGACCTGAATGGAAGTCAGATGCCCAACTGACTGAGCCACCCAGGTGCCCCAAGAAATAATACATTTTAAATATTATCATATATATTTTAAATTGTGGTAAATAAATAAATTACACAGTTTACATTTTAACCATTTTTAAGTATAAAATAAAGTGGCACTGAGTGCATTCACATGGCCATGCAACTATCACCACTGTCCAATTCCAGAAATCTTTTATCATCCCAAATTCTGTACCTATTAAGCAATCCCTCTCCATTCCTCCTCCCCCCACCAGCCCCTGATAATCTCTGTTGTACTTTCTATCTCTATGAATTTGCCTATTCTAGATACCTCATACAAGTGGAAACATACATTTGTTCTTTTGTATCTGGCTTTTTTTACTTAGCATAATATCCTCAAGGTTCACCCATAGTGAACATGTCAGAACATGTCAGAACGTCATTCCTTTTTATGGCTGAATCATATTCCATGGTATTTATACTACGTTTTATCTATCTTGATGTGCCCTGGGTTGTTTACACCTTTTGGCTATTGTGAATAGTGCTGCTATGAAAATTGGTATGCAAGTCTCTGTTTGAGTCTTTGCTTTTAAATCTTTTAAGAGTGAAACTGCTGGGTCATATAGTAATTCTACGAATAACTTTTTGAGGAACTGCCCACATGTTTTCCAGAGCAGCTGCATCATTTCACATTCCCACCAGCAATGCACCAGCGTTCTCCACATCCATGCCAACACTTACTTTCTATTTCTGTGGTTTTTTATAATAACCATCCTAAACGGTGTGAAGTTGGTTTCTCATTGTGGATTCAATTTGCATTTCTCTAATGACTAATGATGTTGAACATCTTTTCTTGCTTGCGTTTATTGCCCATCTGTATATATCTTCTTTGAAGAAATGTCCATTTGAGCCCTTTGTCCTTTGTGGTTTTGGTTGGTAAGTTCTAAGAGTTCCTTAGGTATCCTAGATATTAATACCTTATCAGATATGTAATTTGCTAGTATATTCTTCATTCCATGGGGTGTCTTTTCACTCTCTTGATAGTGTCCTTCGATGCACAAAAGTTTTTAATTCTAATGAAGTCCAACTGACCTTTGTGTTGTTGCACCTGTCCTTTTTTGACACACCACCCGCCCCCCCCTTTCCTCCCTGGCTTCCTGGCCCATGCCTTCCTCTCTGAGATTTCGCCTTCCTCTCTGCCTCTCAAGTCACCTTTGCCGGGTCCTTTAACAACCTGGGATTCAGTAATAGGTCATTTCCCAAGGGCTGTCACCACCCCCTCACTATCTGCAGGTGCAGACCTGAAGGAGCGGGAGCAGATGAGTGAGGCAGAAGTGGGGATCTTTGTCCAGCGGCTCCGAGGCCTGATGAATGAGATTGGTGAGGGTCTTGGAGTGGGTTGGAGGAGGGCGTTCAGGGGCCCTGCTGATCCCAGCCCCACCACACCTACCATCCTCTACTGTAAAGAGAGGACAGTTTCTGTTGTGAGCTCTGTGAAGACAGATGACTCTCCCAGGAGGAATGGCACAAAGAATTCTACAAGGTGGAAAGGGACAAGAGAGTTCAGAGGGCATTTCTCCTGGAGGGAGCTCTGGTGCTCAGCCTTTGTGTCCTGCTAGTTCTGACCTCCCCACCTCTCTACCCTCAGGGTTCAAGCCCAGCTATTCCAGTGGAGTCAGATTTCAGGCTGCAGGCCTTCAGGCTTTGATAATTACTGCTCTTTTTGCCTGGAATATCCCTCCTTGGCCACCTGAACTTTTTACTCATTCTTTAAAACCACCAGGAAGCCTTCCCTGAGTGGTTCTCCAAGATTTCTTTATCAGAGCACTGATTACCTTGGGTCATCATTGCCTGTTTACAGATCTGCCTTCCCCATATCTATTCAATTCTATGTTTTCAGCACCCAGCATGGGGCTTGGCACACAGAACTTGGAGGAAGGGCAGAAAGGCTGGTCTGGGGAGGCCAGCAGGAGAGTGGGCCTGAGCACCGATCGTTCAGCCCATCTCCCCACCCCAGTAGCCCAGCTAATTTCCCAACTTTCCCCAATAGAAAAACCAACTTCTAAGATAACCTGGCTGAGGTACCAGGTAAGGTTCCAAACCTGGGACCCATGAGGCCCTCTGTCCCAACCAGCTAGCCCCTTTCCAACCTTGAGTCCCTGTTCTGGCCCTGCTAGGGCCTCTCAGGCTGAGCCCTTCTTCATCTCCACAGCAGCCTTCCCGGCACCCACTATTGCGGCTATGGACGGGTTTGCCTTGGGTGGAGGCCTGGAACTTGCCCTGGCCTGTGATCTCCGAGTAGCAGGTACTGGGCAGAAGAAGAGGTGGGACAGGGTGAGAAGGGAAGAAGTAAAGCAGGGTAAGTCTGGAGATTCTGCAGTTAGCCACTGCTCTGAGCTTTCCAATCAACAGCAAAACTAAATGTAACGTGAGGGATACAGAGCAAGTTTGGGGGGAAGCTGGTTTCCCTCCTGGCCCAGCCACTGACTGCTGTAGTACCTTTTACTCTTCAGAACCAGCCTCCTTCACCTCAGGAATGCTTCTACCAACCCCACAGCAGTTGGCGAGAGGACAATCAACAAAAACGCAGGGAGGGGAGACTGAGGAAAAGATTAATTGTTCAACTTTCTGGTTCTATGCAAGCCACACTTATTTGTCATGTTTTACACAAAGAAACATGGGGGCAGTTTGTCACCAGCCCAGTTAATCACAAACATGCCTGGGCAGAAACACTGCCCTCTGGTTCACTGGTACCAGGCAAGGGTTGCAATACTTGTTCAGAGCGGTTGAGTTTGAAGAGTGCAGGGAGGGGATGAAAAAGATGATTGCCTTTAACCTTACAGACTTGCAGGTTAGTGTGCCCTTCTTGGCGGCAGAAAGTCTGAGTGCTATCTGATGCTACTCTCTTCCTTTCACTGCTTTTTCCTGCCACTCCAGGTAGAACATTTAGAAACGTGTAACTCCAGGCACAGAGGTAGCATCTACAGGATGCATATCAAAGAGAAGGTATCAAATTACCAAGTCAGATCATAGCTCCAACTCTGTTTCTCATGTGCCCATGTTTAGGGCAACTAACTTGCAGGGTTTGGGTAGATGGCAGAGAGTGACTATAAAACCCCTCATAGGCAGGAGTATTGGCCATTCCCTGCTGCCAGACTGCATGGTTCAGATGGTCTGTGAGGGAATTCAGGAGAAGCCTGTGGGGTGGGACACACAAGGGAGCTCCTTAGAGGAAGTAGAACTCAAAAGGAGAAGTGGACTGAAACATGGGAATTTTCAGGCTGATGAAAAGCTGGGAGGAATAACTGTGGTGTGAGCATGAGTCGTGATACTATAGGCCAGGCCAGAGCTAAGGGTCCATGAGACAGAGAATCCATTAACCCACAAATAGGCACTGAGTACCTCCCAAGAACCCCTTCCTTGTTACAAGCACCAGTACCTCGTTTGATCCTTAGCAGCTCTCTGACGATGGCAGAAGAGTAACCATATTTTTTCCACCTATGAATGAGGCTCAGAAAGGGTGAGATTTGCTTGGATGCATACCTCCACCACCGGAGGAGGCAGGATGAGGGCCTAGGCCTCCTGACTTCTATGTTAGGGCTCTTGCCAAGGCAGTCTGGGGAGGTCTGCTGCGGCCAGCCCATGACAGAAGTGGTTGGCTGGAGGGGTGAGCCTAGGGCCAGAGGACTCTTCTCTCTGGGGATTGGCACTGCAGGACAGCATGGGTGCTTCACTCTGTTCTGTTTAAGCAGCTTCCTCGGCTGTCATGGGGCTGATTGAGACCACCCGAGGGCTCCTCCCAGGAGCAGGTAACTGTACCCACAGCACCCATCCTTCTCTACTTACCCATTCCCACTCTATCCGAGCTACTCCCCTGCTTCCATCCTTTGCCTTATGTTCTGAGCTCTGCCCTTCCATCCTAACTCAGAATCTGTTCCTCTGAGAAGTCTTGGCTGACTCCCAGACTGGGCTTCTCTGGGTTCCCACTTCCTATGTCGATTTACCACCCGTACTCCATCCTGGCAGGAGGGACTCAGAGGCTGCCTCGATGTCTAGGGGTGGCCCTGGCAAAGGAGCTCATCTTCACAGGCCGAAGACTGAGTGGTGCACAGGCTCAAGCCCTGGGGTTGGTGAACCACACTGTTCCCCAGAATGAGGAGGGCAATGCTGCCTACCACCGGGCAAGAGCGCTGGCCCAGGAGATCCTGCCCCAGGTGAGGTAGCAGCCTAGCACAGGAGAGCCTGTGCCACGGGAGGGGGTGTGTATGTGTACACCTGTGGGGAGGCGAGGGGGTGCGTCCTGTGAGGACACACAAACAAGATCCACTTAACTGGACTTAAATTTAATTAAAAATTTAGTTTCTCAGTTACACTTCCGCCATGTCACATGTTAATAGCTACATGTGGTTAGTGGCTACTAGATCAGACAGTACTGCAATAAAATGTCCCCAAAACTATAAAGCAAGATTCTAAAGCAGATAAAGAACTACAAGCTTATCTTTCCCAACATACTGCACAGAGAAATTCCCATGTATCATGTAGGACATGTGTTAAGACCCCAGCTAGGTGTAATCCTACCTGCTTCCAGGCCCAAAGCCTTTAGCAGGGCAGCCAGAATCTGGCTGATGGGGTCTCCAAGGACTGGAGAGCCTCTCACTGCTGGCTTCTCACTTCTCACTGCTGGGACCTGGAGGAAGGTCCCAAGTTTCCGTATGAAAGCAGCTTGAAATGGAGCTAGGTTTTATAATGACTTAGCCCATATGGAGCACTTCCTATCCATCAGACACAATCCCAGGTATTTTAAGAGTTTCTCAATCACTAGTACAATCCAGCCGAGTTGATTATCCATGTTGTATTTGTAATACAACAGACCCAGAAAGGTTAAGTGACTTGCTCATCAAGGTCACAAAAAGTGATTGCAATACCAGAAAAAAAGACAATACTGGCATTTGGGCTTTTATTTTGTATACTACAAAATACAATATAAAAACTGGTATTCTTAAGAGTGCAGAATACATACAAAATTTTTAAAACTTAAATACTTAATGCATTTCCAACACAAAAAATTTACATTTATAAAACAGATAAGCTTATAAAACTGTTAACCATATATTATAATTTTAATATTAACAGAAAAAAGTATTTGAATTAATCACGAAAATAAGTATTTTATTTTGGAAAAAATACTTTGTCTCTCTTAAATTTAAATAATCCTCCCTCATAACTTTCAGGTGTTCTTTGAGGGCAAGGACTGTAACTTTAAAAATTAATAGTGAGTTGGTTTAAAAGAAAGCATTTGTTTTGTCTTTATTTCTTTTTCTTTTCTTCATCACATACAAATGGAGCCTGATGTTACTTGGGCCATTCTAATGCTACCAGGTTTCTATTACACTTGAGCAAAAGTCTGAACTAACACAAAAAAACTCAAGGTAGTGCGTGGCTCACTGCACTAGCAAGACTTGTGGACTGTAGGGTTGTCTTTTTGCATAAACTGAATAATTGGGTCTTTGAGCTTCATCTCAAGAGGATTCAGATTTCAGATTTTTGAATATACTGAAACAATGGTCTCCTACTAATATAATTACTTATATTTCATTACTTAAAAATAGCTTTGTATACCAAGGCACCAGCTTACCAAAAATTAGTTCCACATTCACTAATCCCAATCTTCAACTTCTAGGCGAGTTATTGGGTGCCCAGAATGAGAGGGTTCCCGAATAGGATGAGTGTAAGGATGGTGTGATAGACTGCTGCTCTCTAGTGGATAAACCACCAAGACTAGGGAGTCAAATGGTATCCATACACTCAGGGAAAAAATTACATTTTCAACACACACACAACACACATCGTATCTATACAGTTTTTACTTTTCTTTGGTGAGAAATCAGTTTATTAGGTAGTTACCTAAATAATAATGCATATTCATGACAAGCAAATCAAATAGAAGAATAAGGGCATAAAGTAAAAAGTCACAAGTAGGGTGACCCAGCTGACCTTGTCTCCGTAGGGCTGTCTCAGTTAAAAGTGAAAGTCCCATGTCTTGATAATCCTTCAGTCACTGGCAAACCGGGATAGGTGGTCACCCAAACAGCTCTAGATTCCCCAAGCCCTCCCCAGAGATGATCACTGTTAACAATTTACATACTCTTCCAAAAATTTTCATTGTATATATAGGAATACATATTATGCACATACACTCACATAGCTAAAGAACTCTGAATTCCTTTTAGGACGGTTTGGGAGACAAGGAGCACACTTGCAGAGGCTAATACAGTTCTAACAGACATATAAAAAACATGAAATTAAAATATGAATAGTAAAGAATTCAAACAATATGGAAATGTATAAAACAAAAAGTGAAGTTGTCCATTCTCCTGACCCTCTGGAGAGATCAAAGGCACGTCATGCCAACAACTTTTACACAAATGAGATAAGAATGTACATACTAGTATAGCCCTTGATTTTTTTTACCCAATATTTTGGAGTTTCCCATTTCAGCATATACTTATCAACCTCATTCTTTTAAAACAACTGCACGCTTTTTCATTCATGGTACAGATGTGCCATCATTACTCAACTAGTACTCTAATGATGAACATTTTATGTTGCTTTTTGTTACCAAAATGGCTGGAGTGCATAACTGAACATCTTTGTGTACTTCTAGAAGTGCATCTGTAAGGTGGATTCCTACATGGAATTAAAACATCAAAGGGTATGTGCATCCACCTAACATCTTGCCCTTAGAAGCATGGTACCAATTCACTGCATCAATAATGTATGCAAATACCTATTTCCTGAATCTCAGCAAACAGTGGGCATCACCAACATCTTACTACTTACCTAGTTTAGGGGAAAGGGGGCACCTCAGATTTTTAAGCTGCATTTCTTTAACAGTATAACCGAATAACCCTTGTGGTCATATTTCCTTTTCTGTGAACTACCTTTTCATACCCTTGTGAATATTCGTAAAAAAATTATACCAGCTCTTTGTAAATCAAGGACATTTGCCTGTCAGAAACATCACAAATACATCTTCCCAGTTTTTCATTTTTGCCTTTTATTCATGGTATTTTCCCCAATATGAAGTCATTTGTGTTTATGTAGCTAGCCTTTTCACTTATGGCCTCTATGTTAACAGACTTTACAAATCTTTTTCTGATAAAGTTGTACTTACAAAAACTTCAAATAATTTATATGAGCAATATAGGGAATAAATACAGTTTTTGCCTAAAGTGAGGCCGGGGATGGACTGCCAGGCCTGCGGTGGCACAAGTTAATCAGAAGCAAGACCAGTGAACCGCAGGTTGCTGCTCTGATACACCTGCTTCCAGTGGCTGTGTAAACTGCCCCTTGGGATTTCAACTCAGGCCTGTCAGACCCCAAAGCCCAAGTTCCTAATCTTGACCTTTTTTTCACCCTGCTGGAGTGAAACCTGCTTGCAGTAGAGGCTTGCATTTGCTGAGATGAGTAGGGGAACAGAGCAGCAGTGAGAAAGGTGACTGGGAATCAAATCCAAGCTTCACCACTCTAGACAAACAGGACCAACTGCTTCACCTCCCTGAACCTCAAAGATGGCACCACGCTTGAAGAGTAGGTGGCACCTTTAGGCAAGTCTGTAGGTGGGAAAACACTTTGTAAACTATCGTATGTTATACACACTGGGGGGACAGGTTAAATGGCAAGAACCCCAGATACACTTGGGAGGCTCAGGGATCAGTCAGGCTTCCTTCATTACAGATAGAGAGTATCAACTGAGAAGTAGAAAGTACTAACACTAACAAAATGTAACAGAACAGCTGGAACTTGACTCAGACCTGTCTCCCTGTCCATGACTCTTACCCCGCCCATGAAGATAGGTCCCTCTCTTTATTCCAACCCTCCCCCTCAACTGTCAGCATTGATCCCCTCAACTAAGACTTTTTCCTTTTCTTTTCCCTAGGCACCCATTGCTGTGCGGCTGGGCAAAGTAGCCATTGACAGAGGAATGGATGTAAGCAGGTTCTGGGTCCACTGAAGTCAGTGGGATTGCTGGGAAACAGTGCTTTCATGGCTCATGCAGACTGAGAGCACAGCTAGAAACAACTCAGGAACCAGACTTTTCTAACAAACATGGAATCTGACCTCTCTCTGTGCCTTAGTTTACCCACCCACAAAATGGAAAATTTGGCCAGATGATATTCCGAATTACATTTTATCCTCATCTCTTTCTCTTGGAGAGAAAGTAATTTGAGTAAAAGGGTAAATGACTTATCTAGGATCACAGAACAAGTGTAATAAGAATGCAAGTCTGTGTGGCTCCCAGTCCATGTTCTTGGGTTTATGCTGGTGGTCAGTAAGGTGGCCTCAAGGATAGGGCTCAGGGTGGTGCCTTGGATGCTACTAATCCATCCTCAGACATCAACTTACTCATCAACTCATCCATTACACACTGAATCTAGACCTGAGCTGAGAACTGGGACACAGAGAGAAGTCAAATATGGTCACTCCCCTAAGGTAGGGAAACAGGACAGATACAGACACAATCACTAGTACAAGGTAGGGGTACCTGGCTGGCTCAGTCACTAAAGTATGCAACTCTTGATCTTAGGGTCAGGAGTTTGAACCCCATGATGGGTGTAGAGATTACTAAAAAAAGGCAGGGGTGGGTACCAAGCAGACACAGCTACTGCCGGGTATTGCTGGGTTAGGGAATGTTTTGTAAGGTTGGGCCTTGGGTTGGATGAGGGTTCAAAAAAAGGGACGAGTATGAGCAAAAGCATAGACGTGTATAAACAAGTAACTTGACTGAATGGGAGTAAGGGGTGAATGAGACTATATAGCACGTAAGTTAGGGGCACAGGCATTCTGATGCTGGACTGTCTGGATTCAAAGACCTGCTTCTCCATATATAGTTGTGACCTTCACCTTTCTATGCCTGATTTCTCAGCTGTATAGTAGGGATAATAACCCTTGCTGTGAAAAGTAAACGAGTTTATACACACATGGTATTTCTCTTAGAATGGTGCCCATAAGTGGTAGTAACAGTAAGCACTGGGCAGTAGAGACTAGAAAGCTGCCAGGGGCCCGGCCATAAACCCTAGGGCCTTACTCCTCAGGACAACAGAAAGCCTGTGAAGTTCACTTACCAGGAGTGACAGGAGGTGTGGAGAGGCAGCCAGATGGGAAGGAAGGAACACTGGCTATGTACAGCTTCCATACCCTCCTCAGCTCCCCAGGCCAAGTGCAATCCTCCCCAGTTCTCACAGCCCCGCTTTGTCCCAAACATTGTTTTATCACTGCTACAAATGGTGTTCCCTCTCCAGGTAGGGAATTCCTTATCATATTCATCTCTGTTCCTATGGACTAGCATACAGTAAGCCTCAGTAATACTTTGCTGGAGGAATCCATGAACACTAGGAAATGGTGTAGGCAGTAAGGTGGGCTGGCACCCCAAGCAGACAGAGGGGAAGAAGGTCAGGCTGATCCAGGCACCACTTCTTTCTCACAGGTGGACATCGCATCAGGGATGGCCATTGAAGGGATATGCTATGCCCAGGTACGTGACCGCTGTCCGTTGGTACATACTTGCAAGCAGAGGGCAGGCCAGAGTGGGGAGACTTGTGTAATACATAACCAATTTAGTAGGCTCCTCCCACCCTGAAGAGTTAAACTGTGCCACTCTCTCTCCCAATTAGCTTGGGATGGTCCTAGGGAAACCACACTGGTCCCTGGTACTGTGTCCTCAGCCATCTAATGGTGGCTCATACTGCCCCACTTAGTGCACAGAGAGTCACAAAGCACACAGGGAGAGGTAAGTGGCAAAGAGCCACTTCTTTTGTCTCTGTACCAGTGGCTGCTGTAGAGACCAGGATGGCCTTGCAATGTCAAGGCCTTGGTTATAGCCTGCGGGCTGTGTGTGTTCAATTGTGGAGGATTGGGGGAGGATGGTTACCTAAGGCTGACTTATTTAGCCCTTGACTCCTGGGTGAGTCAAAAATACTAATCTCCAGGTTAACAAATATCCAAAATACTCCTAAACAAGGGGTCTGGGGACTTGTAGAACCTGGTGCAAACTGGCTACACACCAGGATTCAAAGCCAGATTTCTAACTGTAAAACTTAATCATTCTCTACCGATCAGCCTCGTATTGGACTCCTGCAGACTATCAGCTCCCTGGAAGCATGTAAGCAGTGTGCAAGAGGCTAATGTGACAGGTCACAGATGCTAGAGAGGTGGCCTAACTTCCCCAGGTGATCAAGGAGTCAGGCCCACACCTTTGCCTGGCCCATCACCAGAGTTCAGAAACAATGAAAAGACTCGGACTCTGACCTTGCCATGGGCTGGACAAGCTTAAGCAAGTCTTTATTGGCCTCTGGCCCTGTTGTGCCCCCCACCCCACCCCAAATTAATACTCTGTATTGTTGTTTCAGAACATCCCCACCCAGGACCGGCTAGAGGGCATGGCAGCCTTCAGGGAGAAGCGGCCCCCCAGATTTGTTGGCAAATGACTCCCATTTAAGTATGGGAGATGCAAGCCATCAAGGGCAAGATCCACAAGGACAATGATAGATATAAAACAACTGGCATGGTGTCTGATACCAAGGTACTGACCATGCCACTGACTGCTACCTTCGTTATTCCTTATCCTGGGGCTAGATGACCACTGGGGTCAAGTTAGCTTTGGAGAATATCTGTCTCTCCCTATTTGAATGGTAAACTAAGGATTAAAATAGACCACTCTGGGTCTTTATATTATTGACTCTCAGGCCTGGCCTGACCTCTGCCACTCAATTATCGGGTGCTCACCAGAGACAGCAAAAGGTTGTAAGAACCCTCCAGTTTCTTCCTCCATACAATAGGGATAATATGGAAACCCTGGTCATGGTAGAACAGGCATCAGGAATCAGACTGCAGATCCCAGCTCTCCTAGTTATTCATTGTGTGCCTCAGCTTCTTCAGCTGCAAAATGAAACTGTTAAAAACAAAAAAGCCTATGCCTCATGTTCAATAAATGTGAGTTATTATTACTGTACAGTGCTCTTGTGAGAACCGGATGAAATCATCACTGTGAAAACTTTTTGTAAACTGTAGGGTGGCAGGCAATCTTTGATGGCTGCAGTACACAGTGCTCTCAGGAGCACTGAGAAGGGAGCAGGTTAAGTCTGAAGGAGAGAAGGGAGGGTCAGGAAATGGTCAGGTAACACTGGAGTGAAGCCTCAACGTTCAATAGGCATTTGAGGCAAAGAAAGGAAGGGTAAGGGAAACAGCATGAGGGAAAGTGAGCAAGAGGATGACACACTTAGAAATGATGGTGGCTGATAAACACATATGCACACTAAGCCTCATAGCCCTCCTCCTGTACCAAGGTAGGAAAAGAGAAGGCTGCATGTTAAGCTGCGGTCTTATGATCATTCTTTAACTCATCTCAGCTTCCCCAGCTTAGGGCTGGTCTAGAGATACTAAGCCAAGGGCATGGATACATACCAGTAACATTGTCGATGTGCTGCTAAATACAAGTGTGCCCAAGGCTGTGCTCATTTCCTGGAAGGAATAGTAACAGAGCCCAGGCCTTAGGATCCGAAAAGAACCACATTAGCTGGAGCCACGCATTCCTTGTAACTACTCAGTAAAGTAACAATGTTACTTAACCTCCTTTTTCTCATCTGTTAAATGGGGAGAATACAACTTATCTATATCAAAGGACTATCATGAATGAGACAAAGTTCAGAGGGCTGCCTCAACAGGCACTAGTTCTTACCACATCCTCCTATCAGTAAGAGTTAGTATCTGGCAACAGAATGTTCTAAAATACTAGAACCCAGGTCAGGAACTGAAGACAGCCTTTTGGAATCATGCAAAAGAGTGCATACGAGAAAATACAGTGCAGTTTCAGAACTGTGGAAGGAAAGAGATTACAAATTCTCCTTATCTTGCTCACTGGTGAGCAAGAATTTTGAATATGATTTAGAGTAAGGATAAGCCTCATTTGATTCCAAAAGACAGTACACAGAACTCCAGTAAGAATCGGGCCAGTTTGGAGTGCTGAGCGACCAGCTTTTGATATGGGCTCGGGTCATGATCTTGTGGTTTGTGGGTTCAAGCCCCACGTCAGGCTCTGCACTGACAGCAAGGAATCTGCTTGGGATTCTCTCTCCCTCTCTCAAAAAATAAAAAATAAATTAAAAAAAAAAAAAAGTCTGGCCAGCTAAAGCACAAACATCTAGTATAAAAATAGGCCACTAATCAAAAAGGAATATACTTTTGTTCTTTGGAAAACTTAAACAGAGGAATGGCAAAACACATTTCGTTGGTTGTCGATAATAAGGAAGGAATTCATACTCTGTTCCACAGAGGTTTGCAAAGGACACAGACAGAAGCCTCTGATAGTTTATACTGCAGTTGAGGCTGGTTCTCAAAAGCCCATTGGGCGCCTGGGTGGCGCAGTCGGTTAAGCGTCCGACTTCAGCCAGGTCACGATCTCGCGGTCCGTGAGTTCGAGCCCCGCGTCGGGCTCTGGGCTGATGGCTCAGAGCCTGGAGCCTGTTTCCAGTTCTGTGTCTCCCTCTCTCTCTGCCCCTCCCCCGTTCATGCTCTGTCTCTCTCTGTCCCAAAAATAAATAAATGTTGAAAAAAAAAAAATTAAAAAAAAAAAAAAAGCCCATTATATTTCTTGTCTTCATGCTAGGTAAGAGCACTCTTGAAATCTATAGCAAAGTCTTTTCTGGCCCTTCCTCTTCTTCTCAGTTTTGGTCACAATCCCATTTAAATCAAAACTTTGAGGGATCAAGATTTACAATGCCCATATAATCATCATCTAAACCCTCTACTCACAGTCATCAAGTCCTACTATTTTCCACCAGCACATCCACTTACACAGAATGTTATGTTCAGTCTAATGTGTAAAGTTGGAGCAAAAGAGGCCAAAAGCAGAATACCCAAAATTGTAAAAAATATATTTTTTCCTTCCCTCTACCCCACAAGTGGAAGGTACCTTGGTATTTATTAAAAAAAAAAAAAATTTCCCCTCTTTTTCCTCCCCTCCAGCTGAGATTCTGCCTTCTAAACAACACATTTATAAGCATGTATTTTCCAAAGCTTTTTCACGTACTTCTTTTCTAGTAGCCTCACTAGGAGTAACAACTCAGGATATTCTTTCAAACATGAAATTTAACATAAATACCAAGGTTTCCCTGTAGGTCTTTCGTTTCTCCTTCCTCTCTGAAACTCCCAGAATTAAGAAGCTGGCCAGGGCTAGGAAAAGTAACTGGCATAGCTGTTCCAACATAAGCTCACAGGCCTCCCCACATAGTCCAAGGCTTGATTTTGCAAAGCTGTTGAAGGAGCATTCCCAGAATGATTCCAACTTGATTTGGGATTATGGCTATCATTCAAAATCAACCTTTTTGCGGCCTACAGAAAATCAACAATAAAGGCCAGTGAGGCAGCCAACTTACAAACTCCAATGATAACTTGTTTCAACACTGAACTGCTGGCAAGGCAGAAGGGCTGACACTGAGGAACAGACAGCACCTCTGAAGCCCCAGGGGCTGAGGAGGGCATTCAACACAGAGAGGGTCTCTGATAATTCATGAAATGCATTCTGAAGTCATCTAGAATGGAGGTTGCAATCTTCTGTGCTTGAGCATCTGCCTCACTGTGCTCCTGGATGTCGCACAAAAACTGCAATCCTTCTTCTTCAACTAACATTCTGCAGTATTTGCTGGCTGAAAGAAAATCAAAGAGAACTGATGGACAAACTGGCATTTTAAATATTCCCAAGTCACCACATTCACCTTTCTGAAGAAAGGGTACCAAGGTTTAAGCCCTTTGACATAGGAATTAACAGATAAAAGAAATATGTCAAAGGGCACCTGGGTGGCTCAGTCGGTTAAGCACCCGACTTCAGCTCAGATCATGATCTCGCGGTTTGTGGGTTCGAGCCGCACGTTGGGCTCTGTGCTGACAGGTGGGAGCCTGGAGCCTGCTTCAGATTCTGTGTCTCCCTCTCTCAGCCCCTCTCACACTTATGCTCTCTCTCTCTCAAAAATAAACATAAAAAAAAACTTAAAAAAAATACGTCAAAACTTAAATAATGCTTGGATTGTGTAGTGCAATTATAAATGATTTTTTAGTATGTTTATTTCCAGACAACTCTATGCCTCAAATCTCTAATCCTAGCTAAAAGGATAGAAACCTCTTTTATTATAAATGTAATACACATTTCAAGTTCAGGCGTTATGCTAAGCTAGATAACCTGATAACACTAGATGCTGGATAAAATTTAACAAAAAAATTTTAAATGTGTACAAAGTAAAGAACTTGTCCAGGACCCAGACACAGATTGCAGAGAGCACCTAAGCTCATGTAACTTTATCTGCAGCTATCCTGGGGAAGAAAGGGACTGTCAGTTTCAGTAATCTAGGAATTTAGGTTCCAACTTACAAAGTTAGAAGCAATCTATATATAATAAAATATGTATCAGTGCATAAAGCTGACCCCTCAAAGGACTATAGGAGAGAAGGGATAAGACAATGAAAACATTTGGCCTCTAGGTGGGTATACAGGCGTGGTTGGAAGAAATCCTTCCCAAGAATTCATAACCACAGTAGTGAGTTGGTATAGGATTTGAATTTATACTGCCTAAATGTTCTGGGAACCCTTGAGCTGAGAAGTTAATATGAAAATTAGTTCAATCCCAGGAAAACCTCTAGAGCACCTGAGGGAAGCAAATACAAAACTGCGTAGTCTAAAAAGGAGTCTCTTAATCATTCCAAAGGCCAACTAGACACAGGGAGAAATAATGATCTAATGACATGGAAATTGTTTTTTTAAGGATAAGATAGAATAAAGTGAGAGAAGGTATAAGATACTTCTGACAGACACCCCACAAGGAAAGTATAGGGAAAGAATAAGATCTTTAAACAGCTGAGAATTTTCATCAATTTTGGAAAGTGTAACTGTGACCTGAAGTCCAGAGGCTGTGGAACAAAAGGCTGATGAAACATAATGAACAAAGTCAAGACAATAAACTGCAGAAGAAATATTTGCAAGGGTTCCTTCAGATTAAAAAGATCAACAAACAGTAGACAAAAAGTGAATAAAGAATATCAATGGACAATTCAAGGACACAAAAACGAGTCTTCAATAAAAGATAGTTAACGTAACTTAAATGTTAAGCAAGACCATCATTTCACCTTAAATTGGCAAACAAAAAGTTCAATTAAACATTGTCTGTGTAAGAATGACAAGCTTTCATACATTGCTGACAGGAATGAAAACTGATAATCAACTCACCAGAGAACAGTTTAGCAATGCCTATCAATATCACCATGTTCCTAACATTTTGACTCAGCAATTCTAAATATTATGCAAATTAACTGACACTTGCAAAATGATACACTTAACAAATGATATGTACTATGCGTGAACTAATACTGTGCTATGCACAAATGCTAATACTATGAGCCTAGCAATGTTTTAAATGCTTAACGAATATTAACCCACTTAATTTTTTTCAATGTTTATTTATTTATTTTGAGAGAGAGAGAGAGAGAGAGAGACAGACAGACAGACAGACAGACATGAGTGGGGGAGGCACAGAGAGAGAGAGGGCAACACAGAATCCAGAGCAGGCTCCAGGCTCTGAGCTGTCAGCACAGAGCCCAGTGCAGGTCTCGAATTCATGGACCACAAGATCATGACCTGAGCTGAAGTCAGATGCTCAATCAACTGAGCCACCCAGGCACCCCAACCCACTTAATTCTCACAGCTCTATGAAGTAGGTATTTTCATCCCCATTTTATAGTTAAGGAAACTGGGGCACAGTGAAGTCAAGTAACCTGCTCAAGCTCCCACTGTTAGTAACTGGCAGAAACTGGGAACAGAGCACAGGTAGTCAGTCTGGTTCTAACATCTGTCCTCTTAATTACCCACATGTGCATCTTCAATTCATAGATAGATAGAGTTACAGATATATAGTCTTTGTATATCATTTTTCATTGTACATTAATCCATATTCATGTATATAAATATGTTAATATTCAATAAAATAGTGCTTGTAATAGAAAAGACTAGAAACAATATCCATTTAAAGAAGACTGGTTAAATAATTATATCTATATAGTGAAGAAATACTGAGCAGTCTAACTAACAGTGGTAATCTGGAGCTCTGCCAGTTGCTATTTTAACTTTAGCAAGTTACTTAAGTTCTCTGTGCCTTGTTTGCTCATCTGTAATAGATGAACAATAATAATAATGCTACCCCCTTCGCGTTGTTGTGAAGATTGAGTTAACTCATAAAGACCTTGCAATACTGCCTGGCACAGAGAAAGTACTCAACTAACTTCTAGTTGCTATAAACCAAAGTCATTTCAGAGCTATTCTGACAGATCTGCCTGTAGTTGTTTATATGCCAACACCGTTCACAATACTTATTTATAATTTAAAGAGAAGTGTTAGGGCAAGCTCCTAGAAACCATTTTTCTTGGTCAGTTCTTTCTTGTTTATTCTGTCAGGTTAACTTTAGAATAATTTTCAGATCCCTCATCTCACTCGTTCATTTAAATTGCAGCATATTCATAAGCTGAAAAGATTTGACATGTGTCTCTTAAAGTCTTTCCATCTAGGAATATAGTATGTCTCATAATTACTTCAGGTTTCTCAATTATTTCTCAGTTTACTGCACAGAGCTCTCATTGTTAAAATTATTTTGGGAATTTTATACTTTTGTTAGTAGCTAATATTTTAATTCTAAAAGCTATTTCTTGAAACTTTTCACTATAAAATTATACTCTGTATTTCTTTTATAATAAAAGCAAAACATTTTACAATAATCCTTAGCAAAGAATGTAAGTCCCCAATTCTCCCAACAGCCAAACATGTAAAAACATTTAATCTGGCTAGGAAACAACCCCTGACTCCTGGCCCTCCAGCCTCCCCCAGACCATTACAAAAAGGCAGATGTATATATTACTATAGACAGAGTATTCATGATAAACTGTTGAGTGAAAAGAGCCAGCTATAGGGCAGCATGCACAGAATGAGCCCATTTTGTTTAAAAATGTCCTTATTTATATATAGTATATACTAACACAGTATGTGTATAGAGAAGTATTTGGGAGGATAGTTATAATTATCAAATTATTAATAGTACCTGCCTGTGGGGAATAGGAGTGAGAGCCAACTTTCACTTTATTTTATAAATTTTTTTTTTTTTAACGTTTATT